TTTTTAATCAAATATTAGTTGTAATACATGCCTGTAAGTCCAAAAATGCATCATATTCCTGCTGTTTATTCCTACTGTCATCACACTAATCTCTTTGCCCAACTCATCATAACTAACCTTGGGCTGCTAAATGTTTTCCTAGTTAATATTTTTTCTAATCTCATTCCTTCCTTTCTAAACAATGTAACTTCTTTATATTTTTTCAATGCCTTACCTAGGATAGTTTAAACTTTGCATATCAGCTCTGATTGCCCAATAAGGAAGAAATTTTAATTCTGTCAAAAGGATTCCTCACTATTTACCACCTACTGACCATCCCTCCCCCTACACACATGATTTCACTGAGGTTCCTAATCCCCAGATGTCTCTAGACAACCTGAAACATAACTCCTTCCTCTATGTTCTAAGTCTCACTTCCTCCAGAACTCACATCTCTACAAATACTTCCTTTTTGTTGTAAATTATGTTTTTACTTGTTTTTAATTATTTTGTTTTATCTTGAAAATTAACATCACCAAGATGTGTTTTGCTTGTTTTTTAACAGATGTGTCTATGGTAGGTTTTGTCACATTAAAAAAAAAAGTTTATATATCTATCTTTACTATGGGTTTTAGTCTTTTTAAAAGTAGAATCTAAGTCATGTGTACATTTTAAGCCTTAGCATTAGAAGAATTCTATGCATATAGGAAGCACTCAATAAATATTGTGAACCGAATACCCCCAACTAGGGCTTCCCTGGTGGCTCAGTTAGTGAAGAGTCTGCCTGTGATGCAGGAGACCCGTGTCAGGCAGATCCCCTGGAGAAGGAAATGGCAACCCACTCCAGTATTCTTGCCAGGGAAATCCCGTGGACAGAGGAGCCTGGAGGGCTACAGTCCACGGGGTCGCAACAGTCGGACATGACTTACTGACTAAACCTACCTACCTAACTAGATTGCATGTATAATGTACCTGTACATGTGGTAGGTTCTCATGTACCAAAAATTTACCAAATGGTGATGAATGATTAACATCATTGCAGGGAAAAGATATGAGGGATAGGCATCAAGAATATTTTTCTGACTGTGAGGATATGACATTTGGAAATAAGTGAAAGAGGGACAATCCCACAAAATTGTCTTTTCACCAAATTACTGCTTATTACTGCCAATCTGTGTGACTCCAACAATTTCTCCTATGTAGAGACAGATATTTCTTCCTTCCTAGAAAATGAAAGGATAAACTGACTAGTGACCAAAGGTTAACCAGTCCCAGGATCATCTCCCAGATTATACCCAGTGCTCCTCATTTCATAATTTCTTATTAATCACAAAACATTTTCTGGATTTAGGGTGTTTGGTTTTTTGGATGTCCTTTATTCTACTTTCCCCAACTCTTCAATGTATCCGAAAAAGTCTCATCAAAACATAATTCTGATACTTTATAGAATTATCTGTTTCACAGTGTCTTGAGATTGATCTCTTGTCTCTATTCTCCCATACTAGTGGAGAAGTGAAAAGAGACTCTTAAAGGGCAGATTCATTTGCTCCAGGCACCAACACCTTAGCAGACATTGAAAAGTGCCCCTGTGCAAAAGATATTCAATCTTAGAGCATTGACCTGAGGGACAGGGACCTGTTGGGATCCTCTCTAGAGACAGAGGCAAGAGCAGGCAACATTTTGACCTCTCCCTCTGCCTTGCTAAAGCTTGACAGGCACTATTTTATTTTATTATAGATTTTACTCCAAATTTTTTCCCTTGGTGGATGCTACTTCACATTTCAACTGACAAGCATTATCTCTGTGCTCTTGGTCTGCCTTGCTAAAGCTGGTGGGCACCATCTTTTTGTTTTCCCCTTCAGCTGGTGCCAACTTCATGCTCTCCATCTGTCACACTCCACAGACCCATTGTCTCCCAGAGTAGGGCTCTTACACATGTCTGGTGCTCCTGCTTTTATGTCTGGTGTCCTGGTTTGTGCAACTGTGACCAGGGGACACCTCCAGATTAACTGGTTCTGGTGGTGTCAGGGTTTATGCTCACATGTCCTGCAGGACTATAACCACCAGAGAAAGATTTCTTAAATAGCCCCCACCATTAGGGCACAAAGAGACAGCAGACCCAGGAGCTCAGTCTTTTTGTGAAGGAAACCTCTACTTTATTATCATACTTGCAGCCTGAAGGGCAGGGTTCTGATTAAACACACAGCTAAGGGTTAACTGTAAACTTTTCCAGGGACCCCAGAAGGCAGGGGCTGTCTTTGTGCTCTTATTATGCCACCCCAGAGCACCAGTGTCTCTCAGAGGGACACTCTTACAAGTGTCTGGCTTTTCATCTGCTTCCTTATTTATTTTTTGTGGCTGCCATTCAGGGATACCTTTTGATCTCTTGACTCTGGTGGCCAAGGGGGCTTGGATCTCTGTATGCATTCCCAAGACATTTTATATTTAGGCTCGACAGGTGATATTATGACAGTGATTAGCCAGAGGTGTGCTAAAGATTCATGCGTGCCGCCAAGTTACTCCCAACATTTCAAGATTTCTTTAAACATTCTTGAAACTATCTCAGTTCAGTTCAGTCGCTCAGTCATATCCGACTCTTTGCGACCCCATGGACTGCAGCATGCCAGGCTTCTCTGACCATCACCAACTCCCAGAGTTTACTCAAACTCATGTCCATTGAGTCAGTGATGCCATCCAAACATCTCATCCTCTGTCGTCCACTTCTCCTGCCTTCAATCTTTCCCAGCATCAGGGTCTTTTCCAATGAGTCAGTTCTTCGCATTAGGTGGCCAAAGATTGGAGCTTCAGCTTCAGCATCAGCATTCAATATTCCAATGAATATTCAGTCCTTCCAAATCAATATTCCAATGATTTCCCTTAGGATTGACTGGTTTGATATCCTTACAGTCCAAGGGACTCTCACGAGTCTTCTCTAAACTATCTAGAATATTACAATTCACTTAACAGTTGGAATCGTTATCATGTTGTGATTCTACCTTAACTAATAGAAAGGGGCAACCAGAGACACCCTTAGAAGCCTATCTAGGTAAACACTCCAGTGAATTGTCCATACAGGAACATAACAAGGAATTGTTTTGGATGGCGGGTATTCACATGGCTATAAAATCATATAATAGATGAAACAAACATGGTCAAGACTAGAGATATTGTAAATAATAAAAGCAATAGCATTGAAGGAAATGTAGACAGCTAAAAACTTTTAGTGTTTCATTCCTGTTCTGAAAGGAAAATAAACCAACTGCTATGTATTTTGCTTACATGGCAGAAACAATCTGGTAGGACTGATTCTTCTCATGTTTTTGCATTTTCCATAGCTTAGAATTTTTATTCAGTAAAAAGCAACAAGTAATTTTTATTCCTGGAGAAGCTTAATATTTTGAGTAGCCATTATGTTATCTTCTGCTGTGATTACTAAAAAGCGTTTTTCTCTTGTTATTAACATAGGCATGGTTTAGATAATTTTTTAAAATTAACCAGCCACTTAATTCTTATTTTAATAATTTACTGAACTCCTCTCTCTTCTGAAAGTTTTTTTCAAGATCAGGTTCCAAATTCTGAGCTACAGAGACTGACAAGCATCTTTAGCTCCTAGCTCGCCTTTAGCGTCTCTGGATGGTTTTTAAATAGCACCAAGCTTTCCTTGTTTACCTTGGTTGTGTAACATATGAAATGAACATGACTTAAAAATTGATGCTAGCAATAATTACTGAGGGTCATTCGCTTCAGTGCTCTCAAAATTGCTCTACAGTATTGAAACATTGATTTTTTTTTTTTTTTTTGACAGGTACACACGTAGGAAGAGATGTCCTTTCCCATCGAGGGAGAATCGTTACTAATAAACTTACCTTTTGAGGGTAGAAACTTGTTTATGAGGATGGACTACTACTGAAATAACTGCTGAAATATTTTATTGTGTATATTGAATAAAACAGACAACATTCCAGATATACACCTGAAATCACTTGGGCAGTTGCTAGTGGAAAATCTAAGTGGAGTTTTGAAAAACAATTAGACCTGTATTTGTACCTAATAAAGATGTGGCTAGTTTGCCACAGGATAATTAGATGAATATTCTGGCAATGCCACTAAACTCAGTGACAGCATCACTTGAAAGATCTTTTCATTCCACTTAAGTTATTGACTAACTTTAAAGTTTCCTTTTGTGTATCAGAGACACCCCTACTTGTCAGGAGGTACAGACTATATAGTCTCCAATAAACAATTATAATTCTGTAATGTAATCTGTTACCAGGAATACTATTTCTTGAGGTGTTCACAGAATCATAGCACTTTTAAGTATTGAAACTCCTGAAAGACTGAAGTGACTTCTTTCCAATTATAGGAAAATGAAAAGTGAAAGAGAAAGTCGTGTTCCACTCTTTGCGACCCCATGGACTGTATAGTCAAATTCTCCATGCCAGAATACTGGAGTGGGTAGCCTTTCCCTTCTCCAGGGGATCTTCCAAACCCAGGGATCGAACCAAGGTCTCCCACATTGCAAGTGGATTCTTTAACAGCTGAGCCACAAAGGGAGCCCTCATTTATGAAAGTTTAAGTAATTTTCCTAAATCTGCACCACTAAGTTACGGTGCAAGTAGGACCAAATTAAAGATCTTCAATTGCAATCATTTTCTCTCCACTCCCTCATCTCCTAACACACATGCATTTGTCAGAACAGCTCTGTTTCCAAGTGAGAGGAATGAATGCTCCTGAAGACACAAATGTGTGACCATCACTGACCAGCACAAAGCTAGATCACAATAGGGGCCCAGTTAATATATTTCATATGCAACTGGGTCAAACCTTTAAAGTACTAAATTAAAGCAATCCTTTTAGTGGAGAAATTCTAAGTTTCAGAAGAGGACCTTCATATTGAATCTCTGACCAGCAACTGATGATGCTATTTGCCTCTGATGTTGATTGGTTGCCTAAACTGGGCTCACCCAATCCAGGAGCAAATGAGTCCCTTGGTCGGTATTATTTGGGATGTGGGTGGAGGAGGGTCACAGTACCCATTTGAGAGGACTTGCCTGCTCCTCTCACTCTCTGTCCTCCGCTGTTTTCCAGCATGGTGCGCCTGTATTTCTCTGGAGGCTCCCGGATGGCAGCTCTGACAGTGATGCTGATGGTGCTGAGCCCTCCCCTGGCCTGGGCCAGGGAGATCCGACGTAAGTATATACCTTGGATGGTGACCTATCGTGGGGTGTGGGGTGAGGAACGGAGTCAGCTTTGTCATTATATCAAGGCCAGGTCCCTTAAAAATTGTGATATTTTCTTTTTGACCACCTATCTCTATCATACGGATCCTTAGTTCTTATCACAGTAAAGGAGCCTGGGTGCTTGCCCACTTAATGAGAGTTGTATAAGTTGCCGCCATATATATGAACCATTTCTTTTCAACTCTCCTCCAATAAAACCTATCCAGCCTTGCAGTCAGTTCTCTTAGGGTCTTTTTTTTTTTCATTTATTTTTATTAGTTGGAGGCTAATTACTTTACAATATTGTAGTGGGTTTTGTCATACATTGAAATGAATTAGCCATGGATTTACTTGTATTCCCCATCCCGATCCCCCCTCCCACCTCCCTCTCGACCCGATCCCTTTGGCTCTTCCCAGTGCACCAGGTCTGAGCACTTGTCTCATGCATCCATCCTGAAGACACAAATGTGTGACCATCACTGACCAGCACAAAGCTAGATCACAATAGGGGCCCAGTTAATATATTTCATATGCAACTGGGTCAAACCTTTAAAGTACTAAATTAAAGCAATCCTTTTAGTGGAGAAAATTCTAAGTTTCAGAAGAGGACCTTCATATTGAATCTCTGACCAGCAACTGATGATGCTGTTTGCCTCTGATGTTGATTGGTTGCCTAAACTGGGCTCACCCAATCCAGGAGCAAATGAGTCCCTTGGTTGGTATTATTTGGGATGTGGGTGGAGGGGGGTCACAGTACCCATTTGAGAGGGACTTGCCTGCTCCTCTCACTCTGTCCTCCGCTGTTTTCCAGCATGGTGCGCCTGTATTTCTCTGGAGGCTCCCGGATGGCAGCTCTGACAGTGATGCTAATGGTGCTGAGCCCTCCTCTGGCCTGGGCCAGGGAGATCCGACGTAAGTATATACCTTGATGGTGACCTATCGTGGGGTTGGGGGTGAGGAACGGAGTTAGCTTTGTCACTATATCCAGGCCAGGTCCCTTAAAAATTGTGATATATTCTTACTGACCACCTATCTTTATCATATGGATCCTCAGTTCTGTCCACAGTAAAGGAGCCTGGGTGCTTGCCCACTTAATCAGAGTTGTATAAGTTGCCGCCATATATATGAACCATTTCTTTTCAACTCTCCTCCAATAAAACCTATCCAGCCTTGCATTCAATTCTCTTAGGGTCTTAAGATTTATCAATAAGAATGTCAAAATAATTCCTCATACAGCAGTTTCCTTTATTTATTGTGTGTGTGTGTGTTAGTCACTCAGTCGTGTCTGATTCTTTGTGACCCCATGGACTGTAGCCCACCAGACTCTTCTGCCATGGGATTCTTCAGGCAAGAATACTGCAGTGGGTACCCATTTCCGTCTCCAGGGGATCTTTCTGACCCAGGGATCGAACTCAGATCTCCCACATTGCAGGTGAACTCTTTATGGTCTTAGCCACCAGTTATGCCAAAAAAGGGTTTCCTGGGTGGTGCTAGTGATAGAGAACCTTCCTGCCAATGCAAGAGACATAAGAGATGGGGTTTGATCCCCCATCTTACATCCCCATCTTACATCTTACATCCCCATGTAAGAATATATCAAAAGATCTCTCCCCATTAAGCCATTTCCTTTCTCTGGAGCTCCAGTGTTTATAAGGATTATGTCCCTGTAATGGAAGTCCTCTGACAAAAGTTGGGGTTGGTTTTTCTCTCTATTCTGTGGAAAGCACCCTAAAGCTTAAGCAGAGATTCTTAGTACTTGGAATGACTCTATAGATAAGGAGCACCTTATGGGATGTCCTATGACACTTAAAGAAGTCATGTAAATTCTGAAAACCTGACATAGGTTAGCATTCACCACGAATCTATTTTGAATCTTTCTGCACAATCAGTTTCTCCTACATCTCCCCATTCTCTGCCCTGAAGCTCTAAGAAGGGATTTAACTAGTGGAGGACAAAATATATAAAATTATGTTTTTGTAAGTCAATAGCAATCAAATATCAGCAATTTCATATTCTTCAAACCATAAACCCTGAGCAGGGTACAGAGTATGAAGGTTGTTTCCATCCCATAGGGTTGAAAGTCAAAAAGCAAGTGAAGAGGGTTCATTGGCCTATTGAAGTCTTGGCCTCAAATTTCATAGCTTCATTTATCATGTAGTCTCTGTTCCCTAATTATTCATGTTAATAAATCTTTCCAGTTATTCCCTACTCCTTTTCCAGTTATGTCATCACAATTATTGAAAATTCCCAAGTTTACACAAGAACATCAGCACTATATAGTCCATTAGATGAGATGAAATTTAGTGAAAATTTCTCTCTTTCTTAAAAATCACCTTTTACTGAACTTTGAATGTTTCTTACAACTAGTGGGAGGAGAAAGAGGAAGTTTGTCTGAATTTGTCATAGAAGGTAGAAGGAATTTAATGTGTCATCAGAATAAAAGTACTGGAGCTGGAGCCCCTTCTGGATGCTTTCCAGGATCCCCACAAAAATCAACTTCCAAAACTCAGGGTTTATTTGTTTAGATCTGTTTCTTTTTTTATGAATAACTATTATATATTGGGTTCTGTTCTAGGCCCAGAAAACTCTATTTGAATAAGGAAGAAAAGACCCCCTGCTATCATGGAACTAATGACAGGAGAGAAAGACAACAACCCAATAACCTTCAACAAAGGAAAAACATTTCAGGGACAGATAAGTGCTCTGAAAAAAATATGTCAGGGTCATTGACATATGCACTGTGTTAAAATCCAAGAAAATAGGGGAAAGAGAGAGTGTGTGTAGATCAGAAAAAGAGAGCAAGGGCCATGTCCAGAGGGCCAAGGGCTTATGAGGCTGTAAAAGAGCTTGAGAAGGGGTACTATTGATGTTGGGGAAAACCAAGAGAATGTGATGCATGCACGTGAAGAAAATAGATTTTTCAGGAAGGGAAGGAGTGGCAGTTGTGGTGAGTTTAACTAAGGAGGGTCAAGTGAGAACAGGACAGAGAAATCAGCACTGGGTTTGGCGGACTTGATGTTTACAGTCAACAGAACATACAAGACAGGAGCTAGATTAGACCCTTTGAAGAAAGAATGAGAGCTGAAGAAGTGAGGGATGGATTGCAGATGCCATATTTGAGTAGCTTGAATCAGGGGGAAACCGCGCCCTAGAATCAGAGAGTAAGCTGGACCTAAAGTATAAGAATAAAAGAACCTGAAGAAACGCTGGGAGGATTTGAGAACCAGAGAGTTTCAGTCACCACAAAAAACACTAGAATGCCCTTGTATGTATGCAGGGGTGACTGGTTATGGAAAAAGCCATTGATTTATATAACCTTATATTTATTAGTGACCTAGAGTACAACACTTATTCCCCTAGCTGATGAGGATGGAGTAACAAACAAAACAACCCAATCTCTATCAGCATGGAACATCAAAACACTTCATAGTTGTTACATACCAGGTCCATAAATTACATACATAAAGTATGTAATTCTTATAACTATCCTATCAAATATGTAGCAGTTAAAATATATCTATGGAATCTAATATTCAAAAAGTTTCAATAATTTACCCAGTGTCACATAGCTGCTGCTAGAGACCTAGAGCCCAGATTATATAGTGTGAAACTGAGTTTATGGAAATTCCTTTTCTTTTATGTCATCATACTCTGTGTTATATTCATATATACATCATTATTTTATAGAAAGCAATGTTTCTGCTCTTTTGTGCTCAAAATGGTAATTAGTGATAAACTTAATTGAAGACAATTGCCAAATGATGATGAAGATATCACTTGCTTTATAAAGTAAACAAATAGATCTTGTGAGCTTCCATTCATAGGGTTTATAAATATTAAAATGGCAATGTATTTATTGAGGACTTATAATATGAACAGCACTAGAAAGAGTGCTAGAAGCAATAAATAGGAGGAATATTCATTAATTTTGCATTTATTTTACAAGTTTCATATGGGTTCACACTATGTGCAGACTATCATGGGCATGTGAAGAAGAAGAAAAAGAAGTATTAAATGTACTCCTGAAATTTTGTTAGCAAGTTGGGCTAAGGTTGCCAAATATAACATAGGATCCAGTTAAATTTAAATTTCAGCTAAACAACAATAATTTCTGAAATGCAAACTTAACTGGGAAACCTATATTTTTATTTACTAAATTGGCAACCTTAAATCGGGGACATGAGTTGCAGTAACAGTGCTAACAATATAAGCTACCATAAAAAAAATTGACTTCACACAGTTTTAGTTTTTAAGTTTGTCTTTGACAAGAAGGTTTAGAGAATTTCTGAGTATTAAGATAGACTAGATCTGATTCACAGTGCACTTTCTGCCATCATTTATAAGTGAAGGTCTCTTCTCAGAGTCTGGGAAATTGTTCATTTCTTGTTAACTGTATAAATGAGGTTATTTTTTCCCTTACTTTCTTCCTTTCCAATGGGACTTGACTACAGAAATAAGAATTCTTTGTATGACCAAGGCGGATAATTTAATGTCTACTGGTTTTATTGGGAGTAGGAGACAAAGTTAGAAAATGAATTATTTGGGACTTTGAATGGCAATAAATTTTCTGTGACTATAGTTACTCCTATACTATAGACAAGTAGTGGGCCAGTGGCAGAGAAATTAAGAAGAAAGATGATGTGAAGGATAAATTACATGACTTTGTAATTTGTTGGTGAAGGAAACAAATAAGGCTTTGTACTGAATAAATGTGTTTTACTGGAAAAGTAACTCTCTACTGGGGCTGGATTCTTAAAAAGTATAGATTTGATGTAGGACCAAGACAGACTATTGGCAAAACTTTCAATGTAATTCTCAGCTGCTCCAAAATTAACAATGGTTTTTGCACCGTAGATTTTTTCAGATGGTTTATACTGGTGGAGCTCATTTGGTGACAGACCACCACTCGTTACCCGTACTCCTTGACTCCTAAACGTTTGGAAATATCTGGAGCCATTTTTGGTTGTTACACTGAGGGTTTCTTCTGATATCCACTGTGTAGGGGCTAAAGGATGCTGGTAAACAGCCTACGATGTACCTAACAGACCCCACCCCAACCCTCAGAGCCATATTTGACCCCTTAATTCATCAAGTCAGATTTGCCAATTGAGATTTGTCACCAATTTTTTAAAAATCTGTTTTTCTGAGCTTTCTTAATTTGAAAATGCAGTAAAGAGATTGTAGCACTGTATTAGGGTTATGGATTTAATTTCCTTAAAGCTCCTCAGTAGTTCTCCTTACATATAGTATAAAGTCAAAATCCTAACATCGCCTACAGGACGTTTAAGTAACTGGCTCAATTACTTGATTTCTCCAGTGTAGTCTTTTACCTCCTCCCTCTCACTCTCTGCACTTCAATGAAATATTTTTTCCAGGTCTTTAAAGAAGTCTGTCACTTCTTCCAAGCTTTTGTACATGGTATTAATATACAAAATACAGACACCTGAAATGCGTCTCCCTTTTACCCTAAACATATATACACACACCCAGTTTCCTCCCTCAGTGCACGCCAACTTAGCCTTTCATGTTACATTAAATGTCACTCTTAGAGACCACTTTTTGGCACCTAATGTAATTTAGGTCATCCTATAATTGATTGTTATAGAACTCTAACACTTCTGATATTTCTCACTCTTGTATAAATTCATTTATGGTTTAATTTTGTCTGTCATTTTCACTAAAATTTAAGTTCCATGATTGGAGGGGACATGTCTGTTTTTGTTTCTTTGGGTTCTCAGAGAGTAGCACAGGCCTGTGGCAAGGTCAGCCCCAACCAAACATTTGCAAAATGAGGTGAACATGTTTAAGGAACTGTTGAAAGAGCTGTCGGATGACGGGAGAGCGCTGGTTTTCTGGTGGAGGATTCTAGGAAGAGGTGGTGAAGGGGCAAATCCTCTAAGTCCTCAGGCTTAGAGGACTCAGGCCTAGAGGGCTCCAGCCAAGCATGGAAGCTGGACTAGGTCGGGAAAGGCTTGGATAAGAGAGATTTCCCCTGGCCTCCTGCAGCCTCCGTCTGTAGAGTGAAGATGAAAGAACTCAAGGCGTGCTGGTAGTTGGGGTGCCCGTGGAGCCAGTGAGGGGGCTAGGGCTAGTCCTAGCGGCCCCAGCTGAGCCTGGGCGTCCCGCGTTGGTGGGTGTCGCCCCTGCCCTCCATCCCTCATTAGCCTCTCCCCAGGAGTCCGCTCCTGTGACCTGATCTATCCTGTCTCTGCAGCACATTTCCTGGAGCATCATAAGGGCGAGTGTCATTTCTCCAACGGGACGGAGCGGGTGCGGCTCCTGCAGAGATACATCTATAACCAGGAAGAGTACGTGCGCTTCGACAGCGACGTGGGCGAGTACCGAGCGGTGACCGAGCTGGGGCGGACGGACGCCAAGTACTATAACAGCCAGAAGGAGATCCTGGAGTATAGTCGGGCCGCGGTGGACACGTACTGCAGACACAACTACGGGGTTTTTGACAATTTCGCTGTGCAGCGGCGAGGTGAGTGCGGGAGTGGACGGCCAGGGGGTGGGGGGCAGTGTGTGTGTGTGAGAGAGAGAGAAAGTGGGAGACAAGACAGAGAGAGAGACAGAGACAGAGATACTTCACTCAGTCCGGGGCGAGTGTGTACGACTGTGAGTGAGTACAAGTTAGGAGGGTTCCTGTGAGAGCGTGTTGTCAGCAGACACTGTGATTTTGTCATTGGGTGATTGTAAGACGGGGAGAGACAGAGAGACAGGGCCAGAGACAGAGGCAGACTGGTCCAGGGTAAGTATTAACATGTAGGATGTGAGCAAGTAGAAGCTGGGGTTCCTGTGAGAGTGTGTTGTTGGACAGACAGTGTGTGAATTTGTCAGTGACTGTTGAGGGGAGTGTGTGTGTGTGAAGTGGGACGAAGAGAAGAGTGTGTGTGATGGGAACAGTGCCCTGGGGTCTGAGTGGACCTGGAGGGAGGGAAGNGGGGGGGGGGGATACAGGAGGAAGGTTAAGAATTTGTCCATATCTTCCAAGTTGTCCATTTTATTGATGTATAGTTGCTTGTAGTAGTCTCTTATGACCCTTTGCAATCGTGGTGTCTGTTGTAACTTCTTTCTTGTTTTCTAATTATTGATTTGACTCCTCTCCCCTTTTTTTCCCTTGATTGAGACTGGCCAAAAGTTTATTAATTTTATTTATCTACTGAAGAATCAGTTTTCAGTTTCATTGATCTTTGCTATGATTTTCTTCATCTCTATTTCATCTATTTCTGTTTTGGTCTTTATGATTTCTTTCCTTCCACTAACTTTGCATTTTGTTTGTTCTTCTTTCTCTAAAGTTGTAAGGTTATGTTATTTATTTGGGATCTCTCTTGTTTCTGAGGTAAGATTTCACTGCTATAAACTTCCTTCTTAGAACCGCTCTTGCTCTGTCCCACAGGTTGTGGATTGTTGCATTTGCCTTGTCATTTGTTTCTAGGTATTTTTTGATTTCTTCTTTAATATCTTCATTAATCCATTGATTATTCAGTAACATACTGTTTAGCCTCCCTGTGTTTGTGTTTTTTATAGTTTCTTCCCCCCTGTAATTGATTTCTTATCTCACAGTATTGTGGTTGGAACAGATGCTTTAGATTAATCTTAAATCTTTCATTTTATGATATTGTAAAAATGTTTTTTCCTCAGATTTCATTTTATTTTTTCAAGAAAATGTCTTTATTGAACCCGTTAGCTTTAGGGGTTGTATCAGGCACTAAGCATACATATTAATGAGACTCCCATCCTTTTTTGAACTCAAATATAAGCTTAAAAAGAAAGAAAAATGTAAAACAATAATAGTTCCAATAGTAAATATGCTTGTTTTGCAAAGGAGATGGGTTGATCAGTGGTATGTAAGAATTTATATAAATTTTTAAAAAATTAATGGCTTTCCCTTTCCTTCAGGACTCACCTTTTTCTTGAGATTTAACTGACAGAGTACAATCACATGCATCTTTTGTAGGGTAGAACCATTTCTGAGATATTCTAAGATATGAGTGCATCGAGAGAGCTTTCCCAGGATTTCATCCTTTCTCTTCACACCTATCCCACTGCTGTTCCCCAATTTATCCACATGGCTTTGAATTAAACAAGGATAATAATAGCTAACATATATTGTAGGGTAAATCCCAGTCATTGTTACATACTTTAGGTATATTAATCCTCACATAATGAATACTAAGGGATAAGTTAGTGCTATTATCCTCCTTTATAGATGAGAAAGTCCAGGCACAGAGGAATGTGAAAATTCTCCCAGGGTCAATCAGTAAGAAGTAGAACCTGGATTTGAACCCAGGCAGTCTGGCTTCAGAAATTATGCTTTTAATTAATGTGTTATATGCCTTGCAAAGATGTGTAAACACTTCAGTTCAACAATGAATAGCTATTTCACGGCAGGAGAAAACACACATTTTCTCAACATCTTTCAAACTAATGGTCCAATGTGTAAATGTTAAAGATAAAGCTCATGGCACTAATTCCTCTTGTGCCAGTGGGCCAGCTATGAGGGAGGCCTACCCAAGGCTGCAGTCTGGAACTTGAGAGTGGGGGCTGAAAGGCAGCTAACCAAGGAGACTTACTCTGTTGTCCTCACTAATTCCCTCCACCTTTTCTCTCCCAGTGGAGCCTACAGTGACTGTGTATCCTGCAAAGACTCAGCCCCTGCAGCACCACAACCTCCTGGTCTGCTCTGTGAACGGTTTCTACCCAGGACACATTGAAGTCAGGTGGTTCCGGAACGGCCATGAAGAGGAGGCTGGGGTGATCTCCACAGGCCTGATCCCAAATGGAGACTGGACCTTCCAGACCATGGTGATGCTTGAAACAGTTCCTCAGAGTGGAGAGGTCTACACCTGCCAAGTGGATCACCCCAGCCAGACGAGCCCTATCACAGTAGAATGGAGTGAGCTTTCTGATCTCATAAGTTCCTCAGCCACCGTGGAGGGTGCTTGCTTTCCCCCGAGTGTTCCCTGAGTGTCTGCTCTCCCTACACCCTGGGTTCATTTGCTCCTTTTTCTCCTGTCCTTCAGCTGAGGTTATTGGGGGAGCCCTGAGATAGCCTATGATAGAAATCCTCTGATAGTTTACAGATATCCTGGGATAGTTTCTCCAAATACCTACACCCCCTGAGGAGGCACTTCTGCCTGGCAAAGAGAAAAGAGGTGTCCCTGTTCTGAGCTTCCTGTGATATCACAAGTCATGGACACTACATGGCCCTGGGCACCAGTCCCCTGCCTCAGATTGGGCTTCTGACACTGTTGCTCTGAGTTCTTCACTGTGATCTGAAAAGACATGCATCCTCTACAATGTAAGCATGTGCTTGACATGAGTGGAGTCCAACCTCAGCTATGCCTTTTATTACATCTGTCACCCTAGACAAGCTACTTAACCTTATTGAGTCCTTGGCTCCTCATCCATTAGATGTTGAAGTCATGCGACCTAATATAATAGCATGGCCTAATAGCATGGCTGTGATATTTAAATAAGTTCACTGTCTGAACTTTGTAGCTACTCAGTGTGATTTTTAATCTCTTTTCCAGAAATGGCCAATTGTTCTAATTCTTCCAGGGCAGACTTTGTTCCTCATTCTCATAGTTCACAATTTCAGCGTCGCAATTAGAGAAGAGAATTTGGGATAAAAACGACTAAAACTGGTTTCTTTTCTCAGGGGCACGATCTGACTCTGCTCAGAGCAAGATGATGAGTGGAGTTGGCGGTTTTGTTCTGGGTCTGCTCTTCCTTGCAGTGGGGCTCTTCATCTACTTCAAGAATCAGAAAGGTAGGAGCCTTTAGGCAGCTGAGCTTCCTCACTGACTTTTGGAGGAAGACTGTGGTTTTGCTCAAGTGAGTTCTCTGTATATCAATGGCCTCTTCTAAAGCTTATTTCCCCAACTGACCTTAATATCCCAGAGATCCAGAAATCTGTAGTCCATGGTTACTTATGGGTGAAACATAAGAGTTTGTGGCTTGTAGAGATAAGGAAAGGTTAACAGGCATGGGGGTTTGGGGTGGAGATCCTGGGACAAATACAGGAAGAGACAATAAGGCTGACTTAATTGCATTGGATTGGTATGAGAGAAACTTCATGGGTCACATGCTCATAGTGTTTGCCCTCATATAAACCCTGGCATCAGATGATGTGGGTTATGGTGTTGGGAAGATCTCTGGTGGGGCCTTGGGGCTTGGGACATTGTGTTTTGGGGATGGATCAACCTCTATATCTTTTAAGTATATATCTTATTTTGTCTCTCCTAGGACGCCCTACACTTCAGCCAACAGGTAATGCTTTTTGTCTTTTAAAATCGTATTTAGTCTCCCTAGAACAGATGGTAGAGGTGACAAGACAGAGGAAGAAATAATGAAAGACTTTGGACCTGACTTCTTGTCAAGCAGTTTACATTAAAGCTTCTTCTTTCAACTAAATAAAAGACTTGTGTTCTAAAGTAGCTTTGGCTCAGGAAACTTAAGAATTTTTTCCCCTTCTAACCTTAACACTTTAATATTAACCTTAACATTCCCCTGAGAGAGGAGAAAAGGAGCTGCCTGTAGAGTTATGTCTGGAAACAACCCTCTCCTCTGTCTTTTGCAGGGCTCCTGAGCTAAAGTGAAGATGGTCACACTCAAGGAAGAACCTTCTGTCCCAGCTTCTTCACAGTGTGAAAAGGTTTCCTGCTTAGCGCTAACTCTTCCACAATGAAGTACTTTCTCAGGATCTTGTTTGCTCCTGGCTCAGTGACCCGGTAGAAACTGTCCACCTTGATGGCTTTCTCAGTCACCCCTACCCCCCTGCCCTCAGCCTTTGACCTGGGAGTTCTCAATACTGATTCCAGTACCATATGTTCTTTCTTCCTTGGTTCCCTTTGTTTTCAACTTCTACTATTTCCTGTGCATCTGAGCTCATCTTCTGTTCATTTCACTTTATAATGTGTTCCTTCAAATAAATACAGAGTGAAAATCATCTGCTTCATACATCTTCAAAGAAAGAAGTCAAAGAAAAGATAAAGGGAAGACTACATCACACCACAATAACGTTTTTATTTATATTCCTGAATTTTGGTCACCTGTGGATCTAGAAAGTTTCCTTTCTTCCTTTATTTTTCTCTTGGGTTTTCTGCATTCTGTTATTAGACATGTTTTCCTGAGCTAGCCCTTAATGAATCCATTTTCCTGAGAAAGCCCTTAAAGAACCCATTTCATGATGGTCCCCTACATCTCTGCATTTTCAAAGACAAGTTTCTTTACACTATTGTATACAGAATTGGGACAACAAATGTTGACTGAGCCCTGATAAACTGCTGACTGAAAAGATGGCAGGCTAGTGCCTGAAAATAACCATCTTGTCAGGGTCCGAATGTTGGATTCTTTTGAGAGATGGGTGGAGGTGAGGAAACAAAGTAAAAAGACTATTTAATTCTTGCAAATACTCCTAGAATGGCAAGCCTCCAGCAGGAAATATGTTAGCTTCACTTTCTTATAGCCCTTCACAGTGGGCAGGGTCAAGCTATCTCCCTGTTAGCCAAAGAAAACACCCTAGGCCAAGGGTCAAGCCGAAGGGGCTGGGCAGGGCTCCCTGAGGCAGGCTGTTATGTATGCCTATGAGAAGAAAAGCAAAACAAGAATTAAAATCACAGATGCAGATCCAGTATGGATTCAAAATTAACCCTTACAGTTGCAGAGTTACTATGGAGTTTAAATTGAATATATTGTGCTCTCACCTTTAGATTCCTTCCTCTTCTCCCTTCATCCTTTGATTTTGGAAAAGTCTCTCAATATTTTCACCTATAATAAATACTTTCTTTCCAAATGAACTGCTATTCCCTATAAACTCCCTGATTTCAAATATAATACAAAGCTATATATTGGCAGAGAAATAGAGACAAACAGCTATGAAAGAGAAGAAAGAGCCCAGAGATAAACCCATACTTACACGGACAATTAATTTACAACAAAGGAGTGAAAAATAGAAAATGGAGAAAGAATAGTTTCTCCAATAAAAGATGTTGGGAAACAGGACAGCCACATGCAAAATAATGAAACTAAACCACCTTCTCACACCTTACACACAAACAACTCAAAATCAATTAGAGACTTCTATATTCATAGAAAGTGAACCCATAGAACTCCTAGAAGGAAACCTAGACAGTATGCTCTTTGACATGAATCTTAGTAATATCTTTCTGTGTATGTCTTCTTGGGAAAGGAAATCAAAAGCAAAAATAAATGAATAGAACTACATCAAATTAAAAGTGTTCTGCACATCAAAGGCCAACATCAACAAAAAACACAGCCTACTAAATGGGGGAAAATATTTTCAAATCATAATATCTGCATAAAATATCAAAAACAGATAAATAACTCATAGAACACAACAATAACAAAAACTCAAATTTAAAAAGATACATGCATTCCAATGTTGACACCAGCATTATTTACAGTATTCAAGATAAGAAAGCTACTTAAGAGTCCAACAAAAGATAAATAAAGATGGTGTTTTACATGTATGTATACATATATAATAAATACACAGTGGAATATTAGTCATAAAAAGGAATGAAGTCCTGCCGTTTGCAACAATATGAATGGTCCTAAAGGGTATTATGTTTAGTGAAATAAGTCAGAGAGAGGAAGACATATACTGCATACTGTTATCTATATAGACAATAAAAAGACAAAAAATGAATTAATATAACAAAACAGAAACGGATTTTCAGTGTAGAAAAATAAGTAGTGGTTATCAATAAGGAGAAAGAAACAGAGAGAGACAAGATAGACTAAGACTAAGAGGTACAAACTACTATGTATAAAATAAATAAGCTAGATGGATACATTGTAGAGCACAGGGAAATATAGCCATTATTTTATAACTTTGAACAGAGTATAATATATAAAAATATTAAACAACTATGTACACCTGAAACTAATATAATATTGTAAATCAACTATCTGTTAGTTATAAAAATAAAATAAATAACAGAACATTAACTTATTCCATTTTTATAACATATATGGCTAAATTATTTAATCCACTGTAGTTCCTTATCCTTTTAAATTTGTAGTTCTATCATCTGCACTTTTTGTCCTGAACAACACTTCTTGTCTTTTTTACTGTGTTAAGTTTTTAGAACTTTCTTTTTTATTGCTTCTGTTGCTGCTTTAGTCGCTTTAGTCATGTCTGACTCTGTGCGATCCCATAGACAGCAGACCACCAGGTTCCCCCGTCCCTGGGATTCTGCAGGCAAGAACACTGGAGTGAGTTGCCATTTCCTTCTCCAATGCATGAAAGTGAAGTCACTCAGTTGTATCTGACTCTTAGCGACCCCATGGACTGCAGCCTACCAGGCTCCACCGTCCATGGGATTTTCCAGGCAAAAGTACTGGAGTGGGATGCCATTGCCTTCTCCATATCTAAAATGAGTACATATTCCCTTTCTTCTCTGTCAGCATACCCTTTTTATGTTAGATTCACACATACTGCATTATAATATATAAAATGTTTATTCTTATTTGCTCGAAATGGTAATTAGTGATAAAATTAGCTGAAGACAATTTCCAAATGATGATGAAGACATTTCTTGCTTTAGTAAGTTAAGTGATAGAAAGACCTTGTGATTTTACATTCATAGGGGTTATAAAAGTAAAAAAATGTCGATATGTCGATATATCTACTGAGTACTTATTTTGTGTTCAGCACCAGGAAGTGTTGCTCTTTAATTTCACACTTAATAACATTCTGTGAGGAATATACTAGCATCAAATCTGTTTTAGAGATAAAGAAAAAAGGCTCATGGATGGTAAAATGGAGCCAAGCAGAAGAGTTCATGTTCAAATTCAGAAATGCTGATTCTACAGCTTGTGGTTCTAACTACCATTAGTGAACAGTGGCTTGATAGTGTCTGAATTATTGATATAATTTCTGATGTTCATACATACAGTGTCTTGATCATGTGTATATTTGTGGGGCAGTGGTGCTATCAGTTCAGTTCAGTCGCTCAGTCGTGTCTGACTCTGTGACCCCATGAATCACAGCATGCCAGGCCTCCTGTCCATCACCAGTTCCTGGAGTTTACTCAAACTCATGCCCATCGAGTCGGTGATGTCATCGAGCCTTTTCATCCTCTGTCGTCCCCTTCTCCTCCTGCCCCCAATCCTTCCCAGCATCAGGGTCTTTTCCAGTGAGTCAACTCTTCACATAAGGTGGCCAAAGTACTGGAGTTTCAGCTTCAGCATCAGTCCTTCCAATGAACACCCAGGACTGACCTCCTTTAGGATGGACTGGTTCGATTTTAGTGGTGCTATAAGAGCTGCTAAATCCAATACAAATGAGAAATTTACATTCATTCTGTATTTATTATTTGAAGAGTTCATATAGTAGGTTCTTATGAGCAGGCGGTCATGGGCAAGTGTTGAAAAATATAAAGAAATATTATTTTCTTTCTGAGATTAACAAATTGGGCTAAGGTTGCCAAATTAAAAATAGGGCGCTCAATTAAATCTGAATTTCAAATAAACAACAGCAATTTATCAAAAGTACTGAGTATCCTGTATTTTTTTGCTGAATCTGGAAACCTTAAGTCGCAGATATGAACTGGATAAACAGTGTTAACCATACAAGCTGCAGTGAACAGTAACTTCACACATTTTAATTTTGTAAGGCTGTCATGCCTCAGGAAGATTTTTAAGAATTTAAGAATAGTAAAGTATATCTGGTCTACCCTTCTTTCTGCCATCACTTCTAGGTGATGGTCTCTACTTAAAGTCTGAGGACCCGCTCATTTTTGGTAAATTATCCATATGAGAGTATCATCTTTTTAGTTTCTCCCATTCTGAGGGGACCTGACTACAGAAACAGAAGTTCTGCATCTGACCAATGGTAATGTTTGATGCCTATTTGTATTGTGGGAACTAGGACAAAGAAAATGAAATCGCGGAAGCATGGATAGGAATAAAATGTCTGTGCCTGTAGTTTACTTCTGTAGAGGAGGAATGGACCAGAGACAGAGAAAATCAGAAGAAAGAAGATGTGAAAGATACATTATGACATTGCAGTTGGTTGGCAAGCGAAGAAATGAATAAGCTTTGGTCCTGAACAAACGAACTTTGTTAGAAAAACGGCTCTTCACTGGGTCCAGATTCTCAAAAAATACAAGCTTCAGCGGGACCAAAATTTTCTACAAATAAAATGTCGGGTGCCCCGTGGGGCTGTGGGGCCGACAGCCTGACCGAGAGGCTGTCTCCTCTCAGAGCATTTCGTGCACCAGTTTAAAGGGCTGTGTTACTTCACCAACTGGAAGGAGCGGGGAGGTGAGAGCAGGGTGGGTGGTGTGTGTGTGTGTGTGTGTGTGTGTGTGTGTGTGTGTGACAGAGAGATAGAGAAAGTGAGAGAGAGAGATAATGGCCAGATACAGAGACTCTTGACTGAATCCAGGATGAGTGTATACAACGGGAACCAAACAGATACAGAGATACTTGACTGAATCCAGGATGAGTGAATGCAGTGGGAACCACTAGAAATCAGGAGAGCCTGCTGCAGAGGAGACTGTGTGAATCTGTCAGTGACGGTGAGGGGCGACTGTGTGAGGTGTGCTGTGAGGTGAGGTGTGGTAGAGTGTGTGCCTTCCCGGCAGTATCCTGGGGTAGAGAAGACTGGGAGGGAGGAGAGGTGTGAGGGGAGCGGTCCGGGAGGGAGGCTGCAGGCATCTTGGTGTCTGTGGGAGAAGTGAGGGGAGGAGAGGAAAGGCTGACACGGGTGGGTGTTCAGAGGGGCCAACTTCTATGTCTGTGTTGTGTTGGCAGGAGGGTTTAGCGGAGGAGCGGTGAGGAATGTAAAGGATTGGGAGCACGTGAGGAGAAGAGTGACAACTTGCTCTTGCCACCCACCCTCTTAATACTGACATCCCAGAAATGAGTGTGCAGGCATCTGTGTGCAAGAGTGTTTCATTGAGAAAAACATAACAGACTACTTTCTGAAAGGTGGGGGAAGGGAACCTCTGTAGCTCCTCTGATCTTTCTGAGACTTCTTGTCTGAATATTTTCCTTTTCCCCTCTTTAGCCTACGTATTTTTACATGGTTGAAATGATTGTGTAACCAACTTTTGAATTATAATTTTTTAACATACAGACATTACTATTTTTATAATGCTAATACTAGTAGGGTAGTTTCATAACATTTGTTTTTATAATTGTAAGAGTTTACCTCACAATTCCCTTTATCAGATATCAGATCCTTTTTCAAAGATATGTAGCGCCAAGGACTCAGTTGAAATATGACATTTGT